GTTTTATTCAGACTAATGAGCTTTCAACATGTTTTCCAGAGGAATCGAGACATTTCTTCAAGGATTGACACTGCATATATCACCACTGCACAAGCAGTCCTTAAGAAATCATTCCATAAAGCCATGTTCTCTTTATATTTATATTTCTGGTATTGTGTTTCAGCAATGAACCCCTGGTCCCAAACACAGTGGGGAAAAATACTATGACAGGATTCATGTCTGAAGTCTACCCTTCGCGGTTGGGATGCATATTTATTGAATTACATGTTCCTGTTTCTATAACAATTATGACTTTCCTACATATTTACCAGACAGAGAATGAGTCACGGGGTAATGAAACAGAAGAACCCACTTTGTACACGCGATAATGGTAAATATGTCGCTAATCTATTTATATCACTATCACGCGTGACATATGTCCAAAATCCCTCGTGCCTGGTTGGAGATTCAACAACTGCACACGTTCCAATCCTCCACTTCGTTGCTAAATGTCTTTTTCATTCTCTCGCAAAGCGTATGATATACAACTACAACTACAACAACTACTACTACTACTACTACACTACTACTACTACTACTACTACACTACTACTACTACTACTACTACTACTACTACACTACTACTACTACTACTACTACTACTACTACTACTACTACACTACTACTACAACTACTACTACTACTACTACTACGGGGCGGTGGGGTAGCCTGCTAGTTATTAATATTAAAGTAGAGTCCGAAGATCCGGGTTCGATTCCCTACATGGTCACAATGTGTGAAGTCCATTTCTGGTGTCCCTCGCTGTGATATTGCTTGAATATACTCATACTCATGGAATAAACCTATACTCAACTCACAGACTCACAGACTCACTAACTACTACTACTACTACTACTACTACTACTACTACTACTACTACTACTACTACTACTACTGGGGGCGGATCAGGAGGGGGGTGTATAGGGGTACCCCCCTGAAAATGACTTAAGACCACATTAAAGATTTATGACTTTACGTTGGCTACTACTACTACTACTACTACTACTACTACTACACTACTACTTTGATCTTCATCAACGGATCCTGTCGTAAAATCGACTGACGGGTTCGACCCCCCTGAAAATGACTTAAGACCACACTGATTTATTTTTTGCGTTGGCGGAGCCAATCGGGAGTTCAGGGGGTTCGAAACCCCTCCATCCCCAACACCCCTTGATCCACCTATGACTACTACTACTACTACCTCGCCCAAACCTGTGACCTGTAAGATAACCGATTTGATGGCGGATCGACTGGTCGGTAAGGCTGACGGGATCGGGTGGTAAGACTGATCGGGTGGTAAGGCTGGATCGGGTGGTAAGACTGGCGGGATCGGGTGAGTAAACCCTGATGGGATCGGGTGGTAAGACTGGCGGGTGGTAAGACTGATCGGGTGGTAAGGCTGACGTGGATAAGGTGGTAAGGCCTGACGGGATCGGGTGGTAAGACTGATGGGATCGGGTGGTAAGACTGGCGGGATCGGGTGGTAAGACTGGCGGGATCGGGTGGTAAGACTGGCGGGATCGGGTGGTAAGACTGACGGGATCGGGTGGTAAGACTGACGGGATCGGGTGGTAAGACTGGACGGGATCGGGTGGTAAGACTGGCGGGATCGGGTGGTAAGACTGACGGGATCGGGTGGTAAGGCTGACGGGATCGGGTGGTAAGACTGACGGGATCGGGTGGTAAGACTGATAGGGATGACGGGATCGGGTGGTAAGACTGGCGGGATCGGGTGGTAAGACTGGCGGGATCGGGTGGTAAGACTGACGGGATCGGGTGGTAAGACTGACGGGATCGGGTGGTAAGACTAACGGGATCGGGTGGTAAGGCTCGCTGACTTGGTTGATGCATGTTATTGTTTCCCATTTGCGTAGATCGATGCTCATGATGTCAATCACTGAATTATCTGACCCAGACTCGATTATGTACAGACCGTCGTCGTATAGATAGGATATCAAACAACAAACAGAACTGCCTTACATGACGACAAAATATTCTGGAAATGTGTGTCAGACAATCTCAAACTTATACTAAACTTAAATTCTAAAACTAAATTTAATCCAATACATTTTGACCAAGTAGTTCAAGGTGTAGGGAAAGCTCCTTATAGCCAACCCACCTTGTTACGCCTGAATTTAAAGATATCGATAGTTCCGACACGACTCTAACCCTATACCTCTCAACAAAATCCCGTAGCGATTCCACTGAACTGAGAATATCTTCCGGAACATTCGCAACCTCAAAGACTTCCTCTGACATAACCCAAGCCGTAATATCACTGAACTACGGTTCAATACGACCTACAACACCCAACACGAACACATAAACAGTGAAGCGAAGCAAATGTCAGCTCGGTCTCCCCAACCATAGTCTGTCTCACAGTCCTTTAACTAGTTTTCCCCTTCCACCCAGCCCTATCTGTAACGCTAGAACATACATAGAGCAAGTCTAGATTCTACCCAAGGTTCTGAATGCCCGATCTCACTGGGGTTCCTTTCCAGTGAAAATTGAGTTATTAGCTTCTATCCCAATTATATATTTTAAGAGACTGAGCGTAAGTCTATCCTCACGGTACGTTGATAACACGCCACCTCTATATATATTCATAGTCTGACGCCACACCAGCGTAACTACCCACAATGAAACCGCAGTATCACGTCCGCCGGGGGTCACGTGGTCCAATCATTTCCCATTGTGAAATACTATCTTTCTAGATGGTTGTGAATTTCGTAAACTTGATGATATCAGCACTTTTTGACCGGGCTGAGTATTATTTTGCTGTGACTATGCTTTATTTTAAACAAAATATCTTTTTGAAATTCTGTTTATCATCGGTGGGGTGTGTGATTTAGGAGCAAGTGGGCGGTTTAGAGCAGTGAAGTCATTCCAGTGCGTCCCAGGTTGTTTTGATTCTAAATTATTCATGTCTTGTCAATGTATTATACTTTTGTCAAATAATAAGTTTATTTCATACAGCTGATATTTTTAGGTTATCTATGTGTGAAAATGGCACTTTGACAGGTCTCGACAAAGAGGAAAATATATTTTTTATCATAATGATTCCCATGATAATCATAGCGTCAGAGGGGTATATCGAAAAGGGATTATTTCACTGGAATGAATCATCTATTTTATATGTTCAGATACATGATTCTAATCATCACTCAATACATCATGAATTACCGCATATGTTCAATATCAATATCGTATATCAATACGCTTTTAAGCTTAATATACTGATAAATGTATACTCGTCCAGGCATTTCCTGTGCTAACTTCATTGTCGGGTTCATTACCCTAAACTAAGAAAACTCATTTTTTATGGATAGACAGCTTCATTATTGCAATAGATGCAACGTTTCGGTGTAGATCCTAAGACCGTTATCAAGCAAATGATACGGTGTTAGGATCTACACCGAAACGTTGCATCCACTGCAGTAAAGAAGTTGTCTATCCATATAATGTGTTCCTCTTCATCATACCAGCTTCTAAATGCAACTTGGGGCGGTGGGGTAGCCTAATGGTTAAAGCGTTGGCTCATCACGTTGAAGACCCGGGTTCGAATCCCCACATGGGCACAATGTGTGAAGCCCATTTCTGGTGTCCTCCGCCGTGATGTTGCTGGAATATTGCTAAAAGCGGCGTAAAACCAAACTCAGTCAGTCAGTCTAAATGCAACTTAAGGAAATGATACCCTACACTATACTGTCGGTTTACACCAGCATTAGGAATCCAGGTGTGTTATTCACACTAAATATTGTATCATAAATACAGTCTTTGAGGTTGTTTTTCAACATACACATACTAATTTACGTGGCTTATTCATTCAAAAATATAAATTAAATAAATTTTATTTATTAACCAGAAATAATTAAGTTAGGAGTTAATACTTGAATTCGTCATTCACAGGGGCGGTGGGGTAGCCTAGTGGTTGAAGCCGAAGATCCGGGTTCGATTCCCAGCATGGGTACAATGTGAAAGCCCATTTCTGGTGTCCCCCGCCTTGATATTGCTTGAATAGTGCTAAAAGCGGCGTTAAACTAAGCTCACAAATTCAGTCTCCTCATTCACAAATATGCTGATTGAGTTAAAACTGAAACAAGCATGAAATTGTTGGTCGATGGTGAAATATTTGATGCTGGAAGAATTGTTATCTTTTGGAATTAAGTCTGCAGTGTTTCAGCCCCTTTCCCCTACTGTCATGACGTTTTGTTACATTAGGGTCAAGCCCGTGAAGAATTGGTCTTCAGCAACGTTTTCTTGACGTAAGAAGCGACTAACGGGATCGAGTGGTAATACACTTGGTTGACACATGTCATCGTATCCCAGTTATCTAGATCGATGCTCATGATCACTGCATTGTTTGGTCCAGAAATCATTATTTACAGACCGCCGCTATATAGTATGAATATTGCTGAGTGCGGCGTAAGCAACAAATATACAAGCAGGGTCAAATCCAGTTTTCAGTGATGCTTTCTTTTGTCAGTTAAGTCTCTTACTTTGTACATAATCATTTTATTTATTTATTATTTTATTTCTATACTTTTTTATCATTATTATTTTTATTTATTTATTTACTTCTTTTTTTTCTTTCTTTTTTTTTGGGGGTGGGGGTGGGGTGTTGGGAGAGAGTCACATGTCAACTAAATGCTTGCTCATTACGATACAAAGTCTTTAGTGATGTAACTCTGTATTCTGTGCCTGTTCCCATCATATACAATTACATCCTAGTATCTTAGAAACTGTATTTCCTCCGACATGACCGGCCGACAATTTCCGTAAATATTCGCAACAAGAGGCATATCCTTCTCTTGATTCTTCTAGAACTGGTCAAAGGCAGTTTCACCCGGGATAAGGCAGATAGAAAATTTACAAATCATCCAATTTGCAAAAACAGCTCCTTGTGACGGTGTGACTTGCACAAAATGTGAGGTTTGTAACCTTGAAAACATTAACAATTCAAATCGGTTATTGCACAACTGAGCTCTACCCATAATGCAACGGTCTATTTATTCCCAGTGAGTCATTTCAACAAGTTAAAAGCTCACCGCTTCGTCGTAGCTGGCTGTAATTCGGAAACACTCGATAACTTCCGCGGCTCCGAGGTATGTGTGGTTGTGCTTGCTTCTTGATTGTACATCTTTATCTCGGATAATAAGCTGACTGCTGAAATAATTATTTTAAGTTATAATATACGAAACGAGAAATTATACACTTATGTATTTTGTTAGTTTTCAGTTAAATTGGTTTAAGAGTAACATATAGCCTGTGATTGAAATCGTTATATTTGCTTTAAATTTCATTAAATGCTAAAATTCGAAATTGAGAACACCCTAGAGAATATCTTAAAACAACAACAACACAAATCAAGTGTAGAATGATTTGAAAATGTCTAGACTGTCTCACCTCCTGACCTTAAGGCTTATTCTAGGCTCCTTTTGAATTTTACTTTTTTAAATTTTGCACGTGGACATACATTTGTCTGTTACTAAATGTATAACCTAAACCCTTCTTTGCATACTTATCCAAATTGGTATTGGAAGTGCAAGAATCAATACAGCAGAAGTGATCAATAATACCAAAAACCTGCTGAAAACAGAAATAACAAATTTAAATTAAAGAAAGTAGTTTCAAAACAGCTGTTACACTTCTATCTTGCAAATTATTTTCGTAGTGGAAAGGAATGTTGAATTACCGTTATCCAGCTTATCAGCGATGTGGGTGTGTTCAGCTACTGCGGCGAGACGAATTAAAGGAGCGTTGATCTCTGAACACGATTCCGCATTTAAGATGCTAAATATACTTTTAAGGTTTAAAATAGTATACTCAATATAGCTGTATACTAAAGATTGGAATCAAGAGCTCCATATAGAAAACTCCCCAGCATGTGAACTAGGCTCCCTGTAGGACATACACAGCGCGATGCAACCACAGGGCAAGTGGGTGTTAAATGTTGTACTGTGTTTGTTGAAGTCTGAAACTGAAGAGATTAAAACTTTATAAATAACAACGATCCAGTTTTAGAAAATTATGTTTGCATGGAAATCAGCAGGTGTACTGTTTGAAATTATAAAACACCAACCCATAAAGAATGTGTTGTGAATTGATTTTTTTAAAGTATATTTTTAAATGATAAATATATCAGTTATATAAGATTACATCCATAATCCACCCATCTCGTATTGAAAATGAGCAAGTAATACACAAAAGCATACAAAATGTTGATCAATGCTACACATTACAAACAACACTAAAATTTAATATTTCATTTTGATTAGAGTATTGTTTCGATAATGTACATATCTTTAAAGCAAATTTATATTTAAATAAATTGTAATGATACTTGCTGATTGAAAAAACCCATTTAAATGAGAATATATAGGGCCCAATTAAATATCGACTTCATCGTACCTCGACTGGGTGGATCGTTGCTTACAGTAACTGTCACCGGATTATCTGGTCCAGGTTAGATTATTTGTTGCTAAGCGTGGCATTAAAAAACTGAACACACATAAAGTTTCCAAATTGCTTTATGCTGGCGTTTGTAAACAACACCACTTAAAAGGCATCCATTCCACAATAAGATAACATGCCCATCTCGATGTGTGTAATTTTGCCAGGTATACTATATTATCCGTTTTATAAAAGGTGATGATTACTGCTGGAATGATATATAAGTCACGCTGCTTTAGTTAGAAATTGCAAGAGTTGCCGGTTAGTTTTCGCTTAGATTCTCTTTGATGCATTACACAGTGGGGTTACAACGCATCATCCTTTTTGGGATAACCGTCTCAAATCCACCCAAGTACCCCCTCCGAGGATTCCAGTTGGGAATTGGTCTTCAGTAACCCGTTCTTGTCGCCAGAGTCAACAAACGGATTCGACGAACGGGTTGAAAGCATATAATCGTATCCCGAATGTTCGAGGTTCGATACTCATGCGCGTCTGGACTCGAATATTTACAGGTCATCGCCATAGATCTGGTATATTTCTGAACAAACAAATAAACGAACAAACATTGGCTCATTCTACGTCACAAAGTATACAGTAATGCAGAACAGATATGTTAATATACTTTACATGGGTAATACCTATGTAGATGCTCGATAAGTACATGTAGTTATGTTTGAATAGTAAATACATTAGCTGAAGCCATACAATTATGAAATTGATGCAATTATGAAACTGATGCATTGACAAATAATGATAAAATTAATTTAACTAAATATAATTTATGTAGCAAGCATGTTGACGAATAACTGATGAGCTTTCCTGACAAAGGTGTGTCAATTTGAATTATTAACTCGGCAACTCTTGCATAATTTAAGTAAATGTGTCGAAACCGAGGTTGTCAAAACTTCTTTACTCTTATTTGAAAACATGCTTTTCGCTCGATATGATTCTCCTTGGAGACATAAACAAACTATATGTTACATGCAAGTCTGATCATGCTCACGGGCTTACTGAAAATTTCATTTTATCCTGAAGTTTAAAAAATGTGTTTTACTCCAAAATAATTTCTTTAGGTTATGAATGCATCACGCACGTGACTGGGTGAGTTTTTAATATTGCAATAAATACTTTTGTTGCCATTGAAGAAATATTACCTCAGCCCATAGTGTATGGTTACGACTCATGGTATACAATAAATCGCTAGCACGACAGATCAATAAATTTGTGGACGACATTCAACAGAAAAGCCACTCTGGACTGATTAACAATACGATCTGGTTGTGAAACCTATATCTTTCATTTTACTGTATTTAATAAGTGTCATGGATATTCTGTTTTGTTATAAGAAATACTAGTTTTAATGGAGTTTACTTTGTAATGAGTTTTCCAATGTAAAAGAAAGTTAGGTGGTGGGTGATTCAACAAGAAACCTAATCAGGATATTTTATAAGAATGAATTCATATAAGCTACATCGCATCAGCAATGATCTATCTGTAAATAAATATTGTCACAAAGTCCTATCTCTCACTGATATCTACATTACATGACATTTGAATTTAATTAAAAGTAGGATTTTTTTATGCATTCAATCAAAAATGTATTTCATGAAAATGTTGTATTAATATATACATTGACTACTTGGATCCTACAGCTCGTGGGGTGTCGTGTTTGTAAAAATGCTGTGTTTGATTGGCATCCCACGAAGAACCCACTGAGATAACAAATGGTCTATTTCAGCCCACAGGGTGAGTCCAGTTTTTCAGATTAACGGTTTAATTAAATGGAAAACAAGTTTAATCCTGTACTGTGGAAGCAAACATAATATGTTGTGTACTAAATGTGGATGATTCTCTATGAAATGTTAACTGTTTAATCCGCAGAAATAACGGGAAACAGTGTTGAGTGGGGGCAGTAAGAATTGAATTCGTGGGTTTGGTTTAACGAGATTTAAAACACTATTTCGGTTATACCAGGTCGTGTTGGTTTGTGAGGGGTGCAGGTGTTGATAAATCTAGAAAAGTGAATTTTGGATACGAACCAATAAACACGTGAAGAAGAAGATCCACATGGTGATAACGTTCCATTATAAGAAACAACGCCTAGTAATCATTAGTAGATGTGCTGAATATTGTAAGTGTAAACTTGTTTTAGACATTCATAACCTGCCTAATCAATGCACAGTACTACTTGTCTTCACAAATCAGCACATTAACAAAGGATAGCACGAAAATATCTGTCATTGTGTAGTTTTCTCGTCCTTTCAAAGAAGCATTATAGATATACATTGCAATTTGTTCATTAGGGATGTAATCCCCACATGGGTACAATGTGTGAAGCCCATTTCTGGTGTCCCCGCCGTGATGTTGCTGGAATATTGCTAAAACCGGCGTAAAACCACACTCAGTCCGTCAGTCATTAGGGATGTGCTGGATATTTTAGCTGCGGGTTTCTACAGAACATTTGTAAGGTCCATAGTAACTGCACGGCGCATTTTGCAAGCTTTTTACACGAAATTTGTTTCAAACAAATTGTATGTTAACTAAATTCAAAATTTGTAAACTGATGTTTGATCCTCGCCAAACTATGATGATCTGAAACTGCGTTACAAATATTTTCACTGCTTCGCTTTCATTTATGTTTATGGGGTGTGTTATACAGTTCATGTACAGCACCCAGTTTCGGTGTCAGTCCATACACGACTTTTCTCACATGGTGTGGTATGCTACTTGCTTTACTGGTCACAGAGATGGGTGCATATCGCACAATGCATCGACACAAGTCAAACTATGACATGCATTAGTCAAACAAATATTATTAAATGTTATATGTACACAAAATGAAGGGAAAAATGATGATGATGATGATGATGATGGTGATGGTGATGATGATGATGATGATGATGATGATGATGATGATGATGATGATGATGATGTTGATGACGACAACGATGCTGCTGCTACTGCTGATAATTTTATACAGCCAAGAGGAATCGGATGATCCTCTCGCAATCATGATGGTTAGGGTATTCATTAGACTAACATCTAGTCTCTGAATGAACATATTTTAAAGAAAAAGACTGCTCATAAACATTTTTTTATTAAAATATAATGAAAAGGAGCCCCGAGAATTTCTTCATTTTCATTATTCCTGAAACTGTGGAAATCTAGACTTGCCACATATTCTTTTACTTGCATGGATTTTCTTGGATACATTTGTTTCGGGGTCTTTATGACAAACTAGGTATTCTTCTTTTTCTAATTATTATTAGGTTTATTCTTAGGCTTGTGATCCCGGTACAGTGTGTCTACGTAACGTGTAAGCATTGCAGGGCATTTCCATGACAGATATAACACGACATATATGCTTTTGACAGCATGAAATAAACAGATAATCAATTTGGGAATAGATGCTGTTCTAACAAAGCATTTACAGAACAAAAACCTTTATATTGTTAAAATTGGACCATGTCAAAATAATGTGTTTACTTCTGTTATACCAAAACGTTCAGCACTGTGGAGCGACAGCAAAATTTAAATTGATTATTCTGACCAATTAAATTATGTTCAATTACATCACCTAACTTTGACAGTGACCGTCAAAATCGAACTCATTTCAAAGAACAGGGTCGATTTATTTCATCTATACGTCCCTTAACAATCGGAGAGTTTGTGCACACACACATATTTCATGTGAAATTGTTCTACGAAAATTAACATTAATTTGCAGTGTTTCTTTAAGAGTATCGCATATGTTGACCTACTTTCTACACAATTCGGGAAAAACCGGATCTGTAATCGACTTCGTCATACGCTAATTTCATACCAACACATCACTTCTAGACAAAGTTCTGATATACGAAAGTCGGCGTCTATGACGGCCCTTACACCATCACGTGACCGACCCCCTTACTGTGACTAAACACACACAAACGCCCTGGTCCGCGCGGTATTCTACCACCAATAGATTATCTGTTTCCGTCTGGCTCAATCGGGTCAGTCCGTCGTCACACTCACACGAGCTCGGATCTACAGTTGCGTTCTGTGAATAGTTCCCCGTATACCATCCGTGTACTCGTGTGTTATTGATTGGGTGGATTGCTGAGTCACATTAATGGCTGTCAAAATACAGAATCAGGTAAGTGGAGACATAATTACGTAAACCGTCTCAGAATTTAGGAACGGAGTACGACTTCACGGAATGTGTGTTGGGTCTGTTTGTGTCCGAGGCGTGTTACGCGTTGTTACGGTGTGATCGGGTTGGCCGTTTTCTGCAAGGCGATTCTATGCTGGCGCTCTGCTATGACAGTGTTGGGAGCGGTCGCATCGGACCATCGGTCTTGTTGCTAGCCACAACGATTGCCATGTTCGTGTTCTAGGTCTACCACATTCCGCAGTTCCATCAAGCACTGCCTCATCAAACACACTCATATGTAAGTTCCGGTATATATGTCATGCACACAAATCTACAAACGCGTACAATGTAATCACTGATGTCAATGTACAGTCAGTCGATTCTTGCTTAATTTAACTACATGTACTTATATAATTTGTAAATAGTTGTCAAGAATTTATAAATATCGGCGTGGTGTATGGATAAGGATAATATATGGATGCATCGATTGTTACTAAATAACCTCAGTTTAACTCGAGCGAGCAGGCCTGGCTTAATTAGCTCCAGTTTACGAACATTAACAAACACATACTGAGAGATCAAGGCTTTAAAACCACTGTTTTCATGGCGGTTGACCGGTTACCGTATTTTATTGCCACATTGTAGTGGCTGAAGTGTTCTGACTAATTTATTATTGATGTGAAAGTTGTTATTCCCCAGCTGATATTAAGAACTGCATTGTGAATGTGTGTCACACCAGGAAGGATAGGAGTCTTGTCGTGACCTCTTGAAAGTTTCCTAAACAAATAGAGCTTAAACCTAAACCTGCCTTGATCTGTAATATGAGAGGATGTGCAGTGATGTCCGCATGTGGTAGGTTAATATTAGCAAACGTTTAGTGTGTTGTTGAAAATATATCGACTATGTGAGTAAGTTTAGTTTTACGACGCACTCAGCAATATTCCAGCTATATGGCGACAGTCTGTAAATAATCGAGTCTGGACCAGACAATCCAGTGATCAACAGCATGAGTATCGATCTACGCAATTGGGAACCGAAAACATGTGCCAACCAAGTCAGCGAGCCTGACCACCCGATCCCGTTAGTCGCCTCTTACGACAAGCATGGGTTACTGAAGATCAATTCTAACCCGGATCTTCACAGGTTTCGATCTGTAATAAGAGAGGATATGCAGTGATGGCCGCATGTGCCAGGTCGATATTAACAAACGTTTAGCGTTGTGTTGAAAAATATCGACTGGATGTACACAGGCTTGTGGTATGTTTGTGGTAATGAAACTTATAATAAACATTGATACAACTGTACAGCTGTCGTGAAACTGTGATGATAAACGAGAGATAACGAAACTAATGAAGATGTTAATAATACCGGAGTTACTACAACAACAATTAATATGATATTTCAAACTCTATTTAGACACCTAGTCTCTGAAATGAACATAATTAACAGAAAAAAAAACAGATAATAAAATATGATAATAATATGTATTATAAAGAGCCGACAGACTTTCTTCATTTGCCTGAAACTGTGGTAATCTAGACCTGCCACATATTCTAGACTTGCATGGGCTTTCTTGGATATATATGCTTTTCAGGGGTTGTATGACAGGCTAACTGCTATTGAAATAAGAACAATATACCAATAGTAACGATGATGATCATGGTGATGAATAATGACAAAAACAATAATAATACAACTACTACTACCAACACAACTATTACTTACTGCTTACTTATATTACTTCTGTTGTTGATGATGATGATGATGATGATAAGTATCATCTACTACTTGTCATTGTGACCGCCTCCGTGGTGTAGTGGTTAGAGCGTCCGCCTGCAGAGCGGAAGGTCGCGGGTTCGATCCCCGACCGCGTTATACCAAAAGACGTTAAAATATGGTACTTGTTGGTCCCTGCTTGGCGCTCGGCATTAATGGGTACAACAAGGACTGGTCGGCTCGGAGTCAGTATACTGTGTCTGAGTGGGGTATTCATGCTTCACTGCGGCATGGTATCTCAGTGAGATAGCACTATAAGACCAGCTTCAGCCTGGGCTAATACAAGCAGCCGCACATACACATACACACGCATGCACGTCGTCATATGATCGAAATATTCTCAAGCACGACGTTAAACCCAATTTCATCTCACCTCCCCTCACTATTACTCCTACTACTACTACTACTACTACTACTACCACGTGTTTCACCTCGTATTCTATTTGTTATTGTGTACTGTGAAACTGCGATCCATTTGTCCCGTGAGACGTCATGTGAACGTCATCATGTGAACGTCATCACGTGTGAGACTTTGATAGGATGTATGTGATATTGGCTTTGATACCCCTATCAAATATATCACCACCCTCTAAATATGTCTCATTTAATTTTAAAACCTGTGTATACATTTTGCTTTTTAATTTCACAACTACAACAGAAACAATATTTCAATACGAAGTATTATATTCTTTAAGAATATATTCAATGACGTACATGCATAACCTTTCTCAGTACGTGTGTATTTACTGAGGGAACAGGTCAAAAGGGCCACATGACAAAACGGCCACAAAAGGCCACAAAAGTTTACTTATTAAAAACAGAACTATATAGTCTGTTTGCCGTGAAAACGTACCGATGAATTTCACTTTTAACAAAAAAAGTAAATCAAATAAAGTAAACTTAAGATTGCGAATCCTCATAAATTTACTTCGCCAATTGAACATTAAAATCTCAGAATTTTATTCAACATAGGATTAAAGTTGTTTAACAAACGATCATAGTTTCAAATCGCTATTATTGATTTGTATTACAAGGGGGTATGCACATTAAATAAAACCCTAAGAATAAGAAGGGTTGGTTTCTACGGTAGTAAGGTAACGCTCATCACGTACCCGCACGTGCATTTGTTTCACTGTTCCAACTACTGCGCGTACCCCCTTGTAATACAAACCAATAATAGCGATTTGAAACGGCAAACAGACTATAGTATGTATAAAGCATACATTGTATAGATTGTTACTGTAATACACATTTAAAAAAGATGTTATTATTATCTTTTTATATGGGGCCCTTTTGGCTTTTTGATGTGGCCCTTTTGACTTTTTGATGCGGCCCTTTTGACTTTCTTGTGGTCCTTTTGACTTTTCCGTTTTGGGGCCCTTTTGTCATGTGGCCATTTTGACTAGGACTGTTTACTGATGCTTTTATCCCATGAGTTACAAAGGTTGTATCACTTATGTAATATGATATCACAGATGGAATACTTTTACACATTGATTAATTAATCCCCGTCAGATTAAAGGACAAAACATGAATTACACAAGAGCGACACGCCTAGTGTGTGCCTTACATAACAAAGCTCATTGTGAAATAAGTTCACAGACAAGAGACGAAGAGAGGAAAGGCAATAATGTTTTTTTAAAGCTCTCAAATAAACTCATTATTATTTAAGTCATTATCTTGAACGTGGTTTTGAACAAACTAGGATGTAGGTCAAAAATGTAACTTTTTTCGTGTTCAAGGACACTAGCAGTTGTAATCAGTTGTTGGAAAGTTTATCTGTATTGCGAAATGTACTCGGGAGGGTTAAATGTCACGGTTCATTTTGGCGATGGTTTTCAAGTGCCGGTAACCTTGTTCTGTGTTTACGTTGTATCGCTGGCAGGGGATAATTGCGTTTATGTCGACTGTATAGGTAATCGAGTGCGACTAAAACGAAAATGTCTCACCTCATTACATTAAAATACCAAAATACAGTGATATACACTGGTAAAAAGTGTTTAAATTGCAATGAGCCACTCAGAGTTATTAGAGACTGTTAAGCGTGAGTGAGTGAGTTTAGTTTTACGCCGCTTTTAGCAACATTCCAGCAATATCACGGCGGGGGACGCCAGAAATGGCCAGTGCACTTCTGAGTGATCTAGAAATACATGTACGTGTAGTGACATGATTGTCTTTCAAGCGACACTTACGTCCCAGGGACCAAAATAGTCGTGTCATTTTTTTTATTGAACAACTTAAAATGTAGGTTAAAACGGTATGAGTCAGGATTGAAGGAGCTCTTAAACTTGACATATTTATCATTATGGTACTCTTATACGAAAGGTTTATTTTTCACTTTCTTGAGGGGCTAAAGTGATATACTAGTATTAAGGTCCATATTGCTGTGTTTTATGACCAGACACGTTTGAAAATAACCCAAGTATATATTTACTGATCACATAATGTGTTGTTGTTCTGTTGGGGGGTGGGGGGTGGGGTTGTTGGTCAAGAGAGATGTTGGCGAGTTTACAAATAACAGCCCCATTGTCAGTGCATATAGACCAGAGTTACTTCCCTTAGCCGTGCTACGTCACTAAGTCTATTTTTTTCACAGACCACTACCCCATACAGACACAGACATTTCAGAAGACGGCAATCGTGCTCGTATCCTAGATTCAACCCGATTATGACACTTGGCATACCGGGGCCGTGGGGTAGCCTAGTGGTTCAAGCGTTCTCTCGTCACGCCAAAGACCCGGTTCGACTCCCAACATGGTTGCAATGTGTGAAACCATTTCTGGTGTCCCCCCCTGGTGATATTTGTGTAATTATTGCTGAACTGGGTGTAAAACTGTGCTCAATCACTACTACTACTACGGTTGCTGCTACTGCTGCTGCTGCTATTACTACTACTACTACTACTACTACTACTACTACTACGGGGCGGTGGGCTAGCCTAGTCACTCACTCACCCCGTGGCACAGGTGGCTAACTAGTCTGTCATACAGACCCTGAAGCATATATATATATCCAAGAAAGCCCACCCAAGTCTAGAAAATGTGGCAAGTCTAGATTTCCACAGGGCTCCTTTCCATTGTTTTATTGTTTTTTACTATGAGCTTTTTTTCTGTAAAATATGTTCATTTCAGACACTAGTTGTTAGTCTAGTGGCTAACGTTTGCAGTCATTTCTCTTTGGCATACTCCACTCCAAGGCCCCACTCCAAAACTCCACTCCATGTTTTACAGTATGCCTTTCTCTTTCCAGTTGCCTTCCCACGCCGGGATAAGCACATACACACGTACGGAAACCCGAACCACTCACTCATCGACTGAACACCCACCTCCGCCTATACAAAAGCTTTTAACCACTTTACATCAAAATAAATGTTTATTACATGATGTACCCTCGGGTCTGAGATAGATGGACTTATTCTGCAGCGTTGCACGTTCACTTGGTCGTGTATTTACATTTTGCTAATCGGAACTTGTGAGTCGGCCTCATGGTGTGTCGAAGTAGCGTTTTACGTGGGTCTGCGTGTGAACGGGACAGATGAAGGCTGCCAATTTGAACCTGTAGGCCTCAGTCTGGGTCGGTATTGTTGTTCGACTTCACGATAAATTCGTACTTTTATATTATTCACCCAGTAGGTATTGGAACCATTGTAAGTTCTATTATGTGGATATACATTATATCGTGTAAACATAAATATAATTAGAACAACGGTAATAAGAAAAATAATGACAAAAACAATAATAATACAACTACTACTACCAACACGACAACTATTACTTACTGCTTACTTATACTACTTCTGTTGTTGATGGTGATCATGATGATGATGATGATGATAAGTATCATCTACAACTTGTCATTGTGACCGCCTCCGTGGTGTAGTGGTTACTACTTCCGGAGAGCGGAAGGTCGCGGGTTCGATTACCGGCCGCGTCCATACCAAAAGACGTTAAAATATGGTACTTGTTGGTCCCTGCCTGGCGCTCGGCATTAATGGGTACAGCAAGGACTGGTCGGCTCGGAGTCAGTATAATGTGTCTGAGTGGGGTATTCAATACTATTCATGCTTCACTGCGGCATGGTATCTCAGTGGGCTAGCACTATAAAATCAGCTTCAGTCTGGGCTAGTACAAGCAGCCGCACATACATATACACACGCATGCACGTCGTCATATGAGCGAAATATTCTCAAGCACGATGTTAAACCCAATTTCACCTCACCTCACTTGTCATTGTTATAATGACTCGACGACTACTACGCCCATTCTGCAACAATAATGAAGGCAAATGCCCTTTCTATTTTCCATGATGGAAATTTATTCAACTCTGAAATGAAAAATTATGAAAAAAAAGATTTTTCTCGTATATCTTAAGGAGGGTTTACGGGTTGTACAAAAAAACTTCCAAGGTCCATCCTTATCTGACTGATATCGGTACGTGTCCAATAGCAAGCGCATGAGTCAGTAGGTGTATTTGGTGTGCCACTACATAAGCACGCCATAGATAAACTAGACTAACATCTAGTCTCTGAAATGAAATAACCATAAAATATAATGAAAAGGAGCCCAGAGATTTTCTTTCTTTTCAGAAACCTGACTTGCATGGGCTTTCTTAGACTAAGAACTAGTCTCTGAAATGAACATTTACAGAATGAAATTTTACAGAAAAAAGGCTCATAGTGAAAAAACCCCAAAATACAATAAAACGGAGCCCTGAGACTTTCTTCATTTCCTGAAGCTGTGGAAATCTAGACTTACCACATTTTCTAGACTTGCGTGGGATTTCTTGGATACATTTGCTTCAGGGTGTGCATGACAGTGAGTGAGTGAGTTAAGATTTATAGTCACATCGGCAATATTTCAGCCATATCGTGACATCATAGCTTGTTTTATTCACGATATGGCTGACATAAAGTAATAAATAGATAATAAATGGAATCAAATTACAAAAAACCTGTCGACTAAAACATTTTAACTGTAGAGGACAACACAATATAAAAGCAGGCTATAGATTGCCAACGACTGAATGTAGATCACCATACTAGGGACCAAGGGGACTTGCAGTACACTTGCTTCCTGCATGGACCCTAGCTGGATTTAAATCTAACCATACATTAAAAGCACGCCGTTTGTAAGACATCGTCCAATACCAATGGCTACAGAAGCATGTTTGGTGTATGAGGAAGGCACTTCTGTTGGGGGGAGGATGTCCAGAGATATGACTTTGTATATTTAGTTCACGAAGCTTTACTATTTCATCAGAACACAATGCATGCTCTGGCATATCAATGACCGTCTTTCAACACTCATGTATCTGCTATGTACGTAGATCTTTGACCTCTAACACGTGTGTTTTTGTTTATTACAGTCATCAACGAGTGCAAAGCGCGACATATGACATTTGGTTACCGCCGTCTACCGGGAGTAACATTTACCGTTAGCATCACTCTGTAACCGCTGATGTGTGCAAGATTACAACCATCAGGGTAGCTCGACCTCAGCTCATTTTCGGAATCTGAAACTATTTTGTCATCCGTGGCATCCACTTCCGACATTTAAAGCCTTTACAACATGTGACCTTACATTTGGAAATACAGCCATTTCGTCGGACATTGAGATATAAACCTTTCAAAGTGGATAGAGTATAGTGTCACAAGAAGACTGCTGCAAGAGTTCCTGGTCTATTGCAACGTGGATCAAGGAACAGGCTCCGCCGTCGGTGACATCGTTAGACGCGAAGGAGACGTATTTCAGTAACAACACCTGGTCAGTCTAGACTGGTTCTTCAGCATTCAAGCGTTCAAGCGATCTAGTGTGAAATTGGTGACAGTTTGAAAACCTGCTGTTCCACTGACAGATTCGTTTCGCGTACTACTGAAACCTAAAGGAGTCAGTATGTCTGATACACTGTGTGTTAGCGAAAACTAAAAACCCATTTTCTGCTCTGCTCGTGTGTTGAGACTTTAATTTGCGATTTGTTTTATTTTTCGATTCATTGTTTACCATCAATCATGTCAATTCAAACAACCAAGCTGTACAAGAGCATCATAAGTGATGACATTGACCAGATCGTATTACAATTGCTCAACTATGTGCGGGGTGGAGGAGACATGAATATTTGTGACAGCGTGACGGGAGAGACGTTCATTCACCACGTCATCAACCACGTCCATAGGTTTATGGATCCGAAGACCGTCTCCCTGTTGTATCTGCTGGCTTGTAAACCCATAGACCTGAACGCCCAGGATTGTGATGGAGATACAGCCCTGCACAAGGTGGTCCGAAAGAACGGAGCACACAGGGCAATGGTGGCTCTCATCAGGTGAGTATTGTTCACTTGAAATGGGAACAAATATTTGTTTTTTATTTAACGCCGCACTCAGCAATATCCCAGCTATATGGCGGCGGTCTGTGAACAATTGAATCTTGACCAGACAATCCAGTGATCAACATCATCAGGATGAGGATACACAATCGGGATACGATGACAAGTCAGCAAGCCTGACCACTCGATCCCGTTAGTCGCCTCTAATGATTAGCTGAATGGTTGCTGAAGACCAAATCCCCCAGAACAGTCACCAATATAGAGCATTCCCCCAGAACAGTCACCAATATAGAGCATTCCCCCAGAACAGTCACCAATATAGAGCATTACCCCAGAACAGTCACCAATATAGAGCATTACCCCAGAACAGTCACCAATATAGAGCATTCCCCAGAACAGTCACCAATATAGAGCATTACCCCAGAACAGTCGCCAATATAGAGCATTACCCCAGAACAGTCACCAATATAGAGCATTACCCCAGAACAGTCACCAATATAGAGCATTACCCCAGAACAGTCACCAATATAGAGCATTCCCCAGAACAGTCACCAATATAGAGCATTACCCCAGAACAGTCACCAATATAGAGCATTACCCCAGAACAGTCACCAATATAGAGCATTACCCCAGAACAGTCACCAATATAGAGCATTACCCCAGAACAGTCACCAATATAGAGCATTACCCCAGAACAGTCACCAATATAGAGCATTACCCCAGAACAGTCACCAATATAGTGCATTACCCCAGAACAGTCACCAATATAGAGCATTACCCCAGAACAGTCACCAATATAGAGCATTACCCCAGAACAGTCGCCAATATAGAGCATTACCCCAGAACAGTCACCAATATAGAGCATTACCCCAGAACAGTCGCCAATATAGAGCATTACCCCAGAACAGTCACCAATATAGAGCATTCCCCCAGAACACCTATGTTCAAAGAACATGGTATTATTATCATGGCCACCGGATCTGATTTATAGCATCTTCAGCCCCCCTTCATGTTATAAGTATGCAATGGTTGTGAACAGGAGAATACACGTTTTACTTATAGAGGTATTGTGTTCAAAATGCTAAATTTGTCATTCTTTGACACCCTTGATCCATTTATTTCTGGCTAAAATGGAACATCGGAAAGATATACGCGAATCCAGAGGGGAGGGGTGGGGTGGGGGGGTGCAGATGTGTGCCCCCTTTAGTCCTGAAAGTTTATTAAATGACCATTGAAACTCTCGTGAAAATGAAGTGTGCACCCCCCAACCACCTTTCTCAAAAAGCTGTATCCGCCCCTGGATATAAGTGTTTTCACGTGTAAGGTAACTGTATTACAACCTTATTATCATTGGGTAACGTTAACGAATACCAGGAACCTGAACTTTCTATCAGATCGAACTGAACATCAAGGCAATGTCATATGTTCCCACATTTACCATGCTTTAAACCCCTTATTTTCTCTCAGATGTGGCGGTAGTATGGACGTGAAGAACAAGAAAGGCTACACCCCTGAAGACATTCTTTTGAAAGAGAAGCCAGCAGGATGGGAGACCATGCTTCATTGGTACCGGAAGTTCAAACCAGGTTAGTTCCCCACTCTCCTACCCAGAGTTCCGTGCGGCAAGCCAGCATAGTACCTCTGCCACAGGCCACAAAAATGTGACGATTCGTCACATCTTGCACCGTCCATTCAATATAATGTACATATTTCTTAACTCTTTTATTTTTGACGAGTCTACACATCTAACTAATCATCTTTAATAGAATGGTTTAGTTTCACTGAGAAAATATCCAAAATCATGTAACACTATTTCGATTTGCGTGGCGATCCTTTGTTTACATATGTTGTACGGCTCCACGTGCTGTCGTCGAAGCTGGTGGAGCCAGTTTGATATCTATATATGTACTGTCATAAACCTAACTGTCGCAGTTGTGGAAGAATATATATGTAACAATGTAAAACATTATGAAGAGAGCGCCGAAAAGCTTTCGTGAGTCCAGTCTTTTCTTATTATAAATATGCGCGTTTGATTACAAACAAGAGAAAAGTCCGGTCACGTGATATGCAAATTAGCCTGTGGCAGTGATGTAATGTTAGTCATCGCTGTGCCGGAGTGTGGTTAGTTCCCCTTATTCGTAGCCTAGTTTCCTGAGTATACTGCGCTGGCGCAGCATTAAAGCGGCATCGCATCATACCCAGGGAACCCGATTGGGCTGTTCATTTAGGCTCATTTCTGTATAGAGAGGCTGGTCCAGAATAATTGGTGTTGAATGAGAGTATAGTTCATTTTGTTTTAGAATTATATCCACTTCGGATATTTTTTAGGTTTTTAAAGAGTTGAAGGTCAGGCGTTGCTACAATGTCTGAATGAAATAAATAGTACGTCAGACCGTGACTACATTTTTTGACAGCAATACATTGTAGGTATCTTCAAAAAGGCATAACATCTTAAACATTTCTGTGAAATGATTTATAACAGATGAATAAGCATTCGACCTGTCCATGCTGCTCGTTCACAACCCATGACAATACCCTATCGCCTCATCAGAAAAACACGTATTGTATATTCTGTGTGTGGTCGATACAGCAGGTCATTTATATCCAGCTCATGTAGATAAGTGCTAGAAAGGTTTTCCCAATAACAACCTTTATGACCACCATCAAACAAGGCTGATGGATAAATCAATTTGTTTATCAGGTCTCCATGGAGATGATAGTTCACCGCATCAACTTACTATTGTAGACATGACAGTGTACCATCGTGTGTAGATGGAAACGTGTGTGGCCACTAAATCTGTATCAGACCATTCCTCTTGGGAGAAGGGTGTGTGCATAATTATGTCCCTTTGTCGTGTCAGGAAGCTATGATAGTGGGTTCAAATTCTCGTTCGATCTGATTATAGTTTCTAGGTTTGTCAACACAATACCCTTGCTCGTCAGTTTCACAGCGTTAACGTCTAAACGTCAACTCAGGAACTCAGGCGTTTCACCGTCAACAAGTTGGTGGATCAGTGAAATACAATTGAAAGAAGTGGTAAACCTTACCGACTTCATAAAGTCGCATCATAAAGATTTAAATAAAATGAAGTCAGAATATCCAAATTGGTCTAATTGATATCTTCAACGCCAAAATGATTCCATTATGGTGAAAAATAATGAACACGGGGGAAGGTATACTATACTGTTGTGGGAATCCTTGGCCTTTTACAACCCATGCTTGTTGGAAGAAAAATCTAACCAATGACAGTGATGGGAAGGTCGGCAAAATGTATCACAAATATAGTAGATGAAGGGAATGGAATGGGGTTAGGTGGTGGGGTAGGTGGGCTGGGGGACAAGATAACTAAGTAAACGTTGTTCATGACAGATTAGTTATTAGGGTAGGGGAGGGACGTGAAAGAATGTTACATAACATGAGTGTTTGTGTCTGTACTAATATAAATCCAACCTGCCCCCCCCCCCCCCACCCCTGCATAATAACTAACCAGTCCCTCATCAATATCAATATCTGTTAAAATATCCCACTACCAAAGATCAAGATCAAAGATCAAATATTTATTGTGCAAACGTTCCATACAGAAACAGTGACAATATTCTATAAACTACATAAACAAGATATATAATGAATCCCATATATATGATGAGCAACAAAACATACAATAATACAAATGTGTATAATAATAATAATAATAATGGCCAAGGACAATCAGATCTTGTATATTTGTTTAAAGTTGTACATGTGGTAGCAAATAATTTCTATACTATTTGGATCATTATTTCTAAAAAGGAGGTTAAATTTTTCAGTGGTAGTAAGTTTTAGAGGAAAGGGAGTTAAATGAGGACTTTCATGCATCTGAATATTTAGTGCAACACATGAAATGGTGTTCTTCATCTTCAAGGACAGAGCATTTATCACACAGACGGTCCTCCAAAGGTGTAGGTGGTCTTGTTCTTCAATATCAAATTTAGAGGTTACCCAATGTCAAGTAAAATATAACCGTTACGTCCATCAATAATACTCTAATTAATTTCAGTATATATTCGTAAATATGTACTGGTGGAGAATATAGTAAGTCAAACTAGTACAACGAGACTGGTGTAACCGATCCCACAGGTTGAGCTTTGTGAACCGATCAATGTAGAATGAAAGGCCAGGTGGCCTTCGTGCAAGCAGCGCTATTTCTAGCCACGGTGTGTACAAACATGCCTCGTACATTGACGGTGTGTCAATACCCCTGACCTAGGGGATCACGATAAGGCATAAATGATCTTCATGACCTAGATTGACGACCCAAATACATTACCGTACTCCTACTTGTAACGTTTGGTGAATTAGAAACAGGGCTAGCCAACTCTGTGAAAGCACAGCAAATCACCTTGCGTCAACTTATGATCGTGGGTTCAAATCTCAGATTCACTAATGCTTATTTTCGCGTGTTCGTGGATTTTTGAAACATCGTTATTTTTTATAGCACATTCATTTAATTTTTGTTGTTATTTTGCCTTTTAAAAACATTATGTATTTTATTGTATTGAATCGGCTTCGTGGAATAATCGCGACATTCGCCTTGACATTTTGTTCAACAGCTGTAAACGTTCAAGACCTGTACCATTTCGGGTTTTTCTCCCACATTAAGCAGACACGCAGTGATACAAATACAAATGTTTAAGGCAGCGTTCCAGAAAACTCTCACTCGCCTTGGAATATTGTTCGTTTCTTTACTAACACATTGTGCGTGTTGATATAGTTCGTGGCTATAATCATCACAGACTTCTGTATAATGTCAATCCATTTTCTGTCGTTATGAATTGTATCCTGTATATCAACCCGAGAAGATCCGGGTTGAAATGGGTCTTCAACATTGCTTGTCGTTAGAGGTTCGTTAGAGGTCAGGTTCGCTGGCTTGGTGCACATCTTCCAGTCTAAATGCGTTCATGATGTCATTCAGTCACAGGATTGTCTGGTCCAGATTCGAGTGTTTACAGATCGCAGTCATATAGCTGGAATATTGACATAAACAATGTCATGTTTGAAAGTATACATGATTTTCAAACAGACAAACAAAACATCAATTCAGAGAGGAAAGGCTATTCGGCTCTACGTGAGTCGTTCGCGATAATACACAGAAATTTGCGAACGGGCTTTCGTTGTCAAGAGCTCGAAGTTGATCTCTGTTCTCGAGTCAAAGATAATGAACACTTGACATGGTGGTCAGGCTTGCTGACTTGGTTTGGTCAAGACTAGGCGTGAGGCGTTAAGTAACAAACAAACAAACAAACAAACTTATAAAATATCCTGTTTATCATTTTCTGTTGTGGAAAAATATATCAAATTCCGATTGTTGAAACCTGTCAGAACTAAACACTAAACACATGCAGTGTATGTGTACCATTTGGTGTGTAAAGTGTCACCAAGCAACACTGAAGCTTAATGACGGCGGTTTCTAAGTATAATAATTTGCCAGGACTGGATAATCCGGGGTTTGACATCTGTATGATTATGTTCAATCGTAACCTGGCGACGAGGATCGTTTTTCATTTGTATTTACGATGTCCCAGACATGATTATATACAGGCCATGGTGTTGAAATGTCGTCAGTCAGTCAGTCAGTCAGTCAGTCAGTCACTCACTCACTCACTCACTCACTCTTGTTCCTCCAGGGCTGTATGCAGTTTTGGTAGCCCCGAATCCAGACAAGCGTGTCATAGAGCGTCTGTTGAAATCTTGGTGCCGAGTCACGGTCTTCAAAAACGGTAAAGTCACCAACCTGAAATGTCTTGCACACGCAAAAGCTGGACAACTGGACATCGTGTATCTGCTGGAGAAGTACGAAAACACCATAGAGTTTGCCCTGGGGGTGATGGCGGCGGTACAGAGGCTGTGTGGGATGTGGAAGGACCTCGGTAAGTGTTTTAACCAGTCCATACAGCACAGATTAATTTGGTGGTTTATTCTTGCTTCATACAAAGGGGTAGACTCGAAACTAGTCTCTGAAATGAACATATTTTACTGAAAAAAGTTCATAGTAAAAAGAAAATATATAATGAAAAGGAGCCCTGAGATTTTCTAGACTTGCCACATTTTCTAGACTTGCGTGGGCTTTCTTGGATATATTTACTTCAGGGTCTGTACGACAGACTAACAAAGGGGCGGTGGGGTAGCCTAGTGGTTATATCGTTCGCTTGCCACGCTAAAGACCCGGGTTCGATTTGCCACATGGGTACAATGTGTGAAGTCCATTTCTGGTTTATCCAGCCGTCATATTGCGGGAATATTGCGACATGCGGCGTAAAACCATACTCACACACCCCTGCATACAAGGCACGGTTGAGTAGCCTTGTCAAGACAACGACCAATTTTAAATTCCGTAGTTGCCAAAATGTGACCAGTCCAGTAAAATACTGGAATTTACATGTCATGCCTCGTATACGTGTTTCAATATGTTTCTGTAATGTAATTGTAATTGACATGAAACCAGATTAGTTTGAACTTGAAAATAAATGACAGAAAACCTAACAACAGAAAAACCACGACATCCAGTTCGTGTGTCACGGTTCGTGCTCTCTTTCACATTGCAAATATAAATATCTGTTCCCAAAGATATATGAAAAATAAATGTGACCTCTTAACCTACATAGGTGTCCGAGATACGCTACCGTACTAAGCCCTGTTAGCGTTTCAGTAACTTTGTAAATAACTTGGCTCAGTCGTCAGAGACGCCACAATTTGCGTTCTTTTGGCGTACCCGAAACCTATGATCGTGGGTTCGAACCCAATTTTCGCTATGGTTATGTGTGTTTGTACGACGATCGGATGTGTTGCGAACATCTTGTGTCATCGGGACGGTGGGTCAAGGTCGCTCATCAAGCCGTTCGATGCCCCACATGGGTGCAATATGTGAAGTCCATATCTGGCGTCCCCCGCCGTCATATTGATGAAATATTGCTGAAAGCGGCATAAGACAACCTCACTCACTCACCGTGTGTCTTCACTGATGTTCAGGGATCCATTCATAAAATTGTCACCCCTTTTGACTGTTATGCCAAAGGAAATCTGTTTCCGTTGATAATTGAGACTGGAATTCTTTGGCATATACAAAGCATATATGTGTTTTGTATGTCTTAAAAACGCGGATTGACAAAAAATATCCTGTATACCCCAGCCCCAAACTAGGAAGTCATCGTTCAGTAGCCATCTCCTCTGCCCAAAGTAACAGTGGCGGTGGGGTAGCCTAGTGGTTAGAGCGTTCGCTCGTCATGCCGAAGACCCGGGTTCGATTCCCCACATGGGTACAATGTGTGAAGCCCATATCTAGCGTCCTCAGTCGTGATATTGCTGGAATATTGCTAAAAGCAGCGTAAAACCATACTCACTCACCCAAAGTAACACCATACAACCTTTGTGTAGGATTCGACAGCAGCACCGTCGACGTGAACGCCAAGGACCACTCCCACCAGTTCTGCTTCCCCGACTGCCCAGAGGAACCCCGGCCGCTGGTGGCTGCAGTATGGGAGAAGGACGTGTGGGAGGTGCTGGACTTCGTCATGACGTTCAGACCAGACACCAACGTGCTGTATGCTCCCATATCAGACCCACAGTTGACGCCCAATCCGCTCTTTTTTCATGTAATTATTTCTTTTTTTCATTTCATAAGGTATATAGATACAAAAATACAGCTCTTTCTTTGTTTCTTAAAGTATCTGAAGAGATATAGCTTGTTCTTTGTTTAATAAAGTATCTAAAATAATATATATCTTTCTTTGTTTCATAAAGTATCTAAAATAATATATATCTTTCTTTGTTTCATAAAGTATCTAAAATAATATATATCTTTCTTTGTTTAATAAAGTATCTAAAATAATATATATCTTTCTTTGTTTCATAAAGTATCTAAAATAATATATATCTTTCTTTGTTTCATAAAGTATCTAAATAATAAATATATCTTTCTTTGTTCATAATGTATCTGAAATAATATATATCTTTCTTTGTTTCATAAAGTATCTAAATAATATATATCTTTCTTTGTTTCATAAAGTATCTAAAATAATATATATCTTTCTTTGTTTCATAAAGTATCTAAAATGAATCTATTTCTTTGTATCTTAGGTGCATGTATTTCTTTATTCCACAAGGTAACTGAAATAAATCTGTTTCTTTGTTTCATAAGGTATCTGAAATATATGTATTTCTTTGTTTCGTTAATTAACTCAAATACATATATCTCCTTCTTTGTTTCATCTGGTGTCTAAAATGTGTAAAGTATGTATGTTTCCTACACTATAGAAAATGTATTTCTTTATTTATCTTCTCAAAAATATTTCTCTTTCTTAACACAGTTTTCTCAATTCACGTAAACATGAGTTTCGAAGCCAGCGGGTTTATTTTAGTTTTTGAAGAGAAGATAATATGTATTTTACACTATTCAGTTCAGTTGTAAGTCAATATTGTATAAGTCCATAAGTCCACAGAATTACCAGAAAAAAACCATTCTTAATCCGTTCATCTTACCTCATTTGGTATAACATATCTTCTACACAGAAATGCGTCTATGCGTACTTGTAATGACATCGCTTTCAGCCAGTGGATGTGTCAAACTGAAGTTAAAAATAATGCATGAAACAAGCATGCATAATTTCATGTACACGTGAGCTCATTGGTTGTTCATATTTTCGTATGGAAATTAGATTGTAATATTTCTCGTATATAAATATGATATACGAGATGATGTCCCTGGACTTTCTCTCACACTAAGGTAACAGGCCGTGAGGAATTTAATGAATTACTGGTCAAATCGGCGTTCTACTCACTCACTGACTGTGTATCTGTTTCTTCTCTCTGTAGTTGTTCTCTGGACCTGGTCAACCAACCGATGAGCGAATAATACACCGTGTTCTGAAAAACTCTGATATGACCGCCAGGGGGCGCCAGGGAGGAACAATTCTGTTGACCGCCATGACGTTCGACCAGCCAGAGCACATGATTAAAGCGTTGTTCGACTACGGCGCTAACGTAGCTTCTCGTGCACGCTGTGGACGTACAGTACGGGACATAATCCAAGGATTGGGCAAACCAAATTATGTGCAGATGATTGACGACCATGTGATCGACATTATAAAGACCTGTAACATTGAGCGTCTTGAGACGCTGATCCTTCAGGCGTATGACCATATTCTGGACATAACGGACGAGAAAGGGAGGAATGCACTTCAACTTGCTCGGAAGCAAGGCTCAAAGCAGCTGGTGACCATCCTGCAGAATATTGTCGCGACACAGGTAGGTCTTTATGTTTTTGGTTGGACAACGAAAATACCTGTGCATACGTGGAACCGATGGCAATTTCAGAACGATAATGTGTATCGTCTTCTAAGACTGCAGTAGTCTGTTACACAGACCCTGAAACAAATATATCCAAGAGAGCAAATCTAGAATGTGTAGCAAGTCTAGATCACCCATAGTTTCTGAAAATGAAGAACGTCTCTGTGCTCCTCAGGGGTTAAAATAACCCATTGCCCGACGTCCGAGTCCAGTGCTATTTTCTGTCGGGCAAGCAAATTTGTATATCACGCTGTACCGTTGTCCAGTTGACTTTCCAATGTTAATAATGTTGTTTATTTAAAAAATTAACAAGAAAACGGCCGGTATAGTGGAAAAATGATCAGGGCAAGTGATTTTACATGTGCCACAGTACCGGAGTACACTAGCAATTTTAAAGTTATTTCCATCCCTGCTCCTTTTCATTATATTGTATGATTATCATCATTTATGAACTGTGTTTTTCGTAAGAGACTAGATCTTAGTCTCGGCCTTCAGTTGCTGTGTTGTGTCCCTTATACGTGCCAGGATCCGATGTTAAACATCTTTTTTATCAGAATAGTGGATCAGAAAAGGATAAGGCACACGATGTCAAATTTAGACACTCTCCAAAGATATTTTAAAACTATTAATGGTAAAGAAGGGTGAAAAGCGGAAGAGAAGTATTAACAAAGTAAAGAGCCAGATTACCTGTAGATTTATCCGAGCTAAATGTATCATTTGAAACCTCTCGCTGTACATGTTGCAAGTCATTGTGACGCGGTTAAGTCAATATGTCACCTTGCCCAATTAAACCCACAGAACGTGGATCGCCTAAATAAACACAACATTTGTGGCCAAATCCTCGCTATTGATCGTGTAGCACAATGGAGTTGAACTCGATGGTTCAAATGCACTTTTTGCTTTTGGTATCGTTCCATGTCTCTAGCTTAAGCGTTGGGTTTATGCTCTGGGTGACAAATCATTCTCTTTGAGGGATCCACATAAAAGCTTCTTCGTGAATTATCAACGGCTAAAGATCTTCGTGGAATCTCGATCAAAGTGACGTAGGTGTTTTGTCCGTTCATGATGTGTACGCTAACACGAGTCATTCACCGACATGCTTGAGTGCTCGGAGGGTTCAATGATCACGCTAGTGGTGGTGAGGGCATACGGACTGACTGACTGACTGAGTTTGGTTTTACGCCGCTTTTAGCGATATTCCAGCAACATCACGGCGGGGGACACAAGAAATTGGTTTCACACATTGTACCCATGTGGGGATTCGAACCCGGGTCTTCGGCGTGACGAGCGAACGCTTTAACCATTAGGCTACCCCACCGCCCCGAGGGCATACGGAGGACAAATTTGACGCGTCATTGAATAAAATGATTTCGGTACGCCTCTTTTTTTACTTATATATCTTTAGGCGAGCAGCTGACTTGGTTTTGCATGTGTTTGTGGCAGGTGTCATAGGTGGGGCAAGAGCCCACCTTTGTGTATGCACCTGTTATCATCACTGATAGGGATTCCAGAACACATGCTCATGTTATAGTCGATGTTTCTTATGAACGTGGGAATATGAACATCTGGCTTTGTATTTGAATGAAAAATGTGTATAATTGCATGTAGGTGGGCAATTTTCGCAATTTTAGTATGTTTTGATTTTACCGGGGCATCAGCGATATTCCAAAAATATATCACGAGGGATGAACTCCAGAGAAGGATTCCGCTAAAAAAAATTTTAATTTAAAATAAAAAATGAAAATTTCATTTCTCTTACCTACATCCGCACTCTTTCTTGCAAATATTGTTTATATCCCTCATGAACCAATGACTTGTTATTTTATTCCTCCTTCTTTGTTGCCAATACTGTCTTTACATTCTTGATGAACCGACCATGTATATGAAAAGGATGTTAAGAACCAACCGATGCCTTCACATTACTCTAGCACCCGATGCGTTCATATTTCTAAATGGCATGACAAATTAACTCATAATATGCTAGTGATATGTAAGAATCGGATGGCCCTTAACCTCTTTTGTGTGGTATATGTTACCATTAGTATCCCTTTCGATATACACTAAACAACGGTTATAACGAACTCAAAGGTAAATAAATATCAAACTCATTCGTTATAATCGTTATAATTTTACTGGAGTATATTCTCTCTATGCTATCAGTTGATCTAACATTTTTGTTGAACCCAATGAACTTTGATCATGTATTTATGCATTTATTGCTTTACTTTATTTGCTTGTACTCAATTATGGGAACAAATAAAAAGATTTAACACCCCCCCCAAAAAAAAACAACAACAACAAACCCCCAAACAAACCCGTACCTTGCTATACGTAATTCGATTAAAATATACAACAAGTGGTCGGAAAATATAACAGTTCGTTATAACCGTAGCTTGTTATACGTATTTCGACTAAAATATACAGCAAGTGGTCGGAAAATATAACAGTTCGTTATAACCGTAGCTTGCTTTACGTAATTCGACTAAAATATACAGCAAGTGGTCGGAAAATATAACAGTTCGTTATAACCGTAGCTTGCTTTACGTAATTCGACTAAAATATACAGCAAGTGTTCGGGATGAATAAACAGTTCGTTATATCCGTTAGTTCGTTATAATCATAGTTAACTGTATTGTACTGTACTCTGAACAGGAACACGCCAAGAAGGTCTTCCTGGCCATCGACAGGGGCAATAAAGCTATGGTGAAGAAGTTGCTCACGAAGAAGTACGTCAACGCCCTGGACAGATGCAGTCGGACAGTACTTCATCACGCTCTGCTTCACCGTCAGGGAGATATTGTCCGCAATCTCCTTGAAGAATACCCCCAACTCGTCAACAAGTTTGACTGTGTGAGTGTCGAACCTATTGTGTCGATGTCAGTGCCAGTGGCCAGCTGATTTGTCCGTATGATAAGAGTGAGTCAGAGAGTGAGTGAGTTTTAGTTTTACGCCGCTTTTAGTAATATTCCAGCAATGTCACGGCGGGAGACACCAGAAATGGGCATCACACATTGTACCCATGTAGGGAATCGAACTCTGATACAATAAATGTATAAGTCGAAATAGTAAATTGTTTTTAGATCTAACCTAAAAGATATTTTAGTTTGTACGTTAAAATGCAAATATAACTTATTATTAGTCTTAGGGAAATATTTCATAAGGGTTGAATGACCTTGTGTAATAACCTTAATATATTTGCGTATTCTTGCAAGTCGTAATGCTGATTGGTTGAAGCTATTATACGTCACAGTGCTTCTCTATTTAAACATACAACATGGCGTCACAAATGGAAAATAGATAGATCCCCAGCTGATGGCTTAGAACTTAATCACTCGAAATATATATAAACTGAATCATCTGACTAACGAGGTGTCAATTATATACAATATATAGGGAGATGATTTGGTGCCCAGTGAGTAGCGTTCGGAAGTCGGTGGATTCGGATTAACGAGGACCGGATTACCGCGGCCTGACTGTATATATATTCGTTGAACCTTGTTCGTGCATATCCAGTGTAAAGCTTCACACAGTGGGTAAATCAATTGAATGGCTGTATATGTTAGAATCACTAACCTATTATGCGCCTGGCTGAAATATTGCCGATGTGACTTTAAATCTTAACTATTATGCGCCATCCGCGTTGCATACGGAAATCGAGTCTAAGCACACACTTTACAACCATTCAGCCGGATGTGTCGAACATCGGGTGGTTCGATATTTTCTTTTGTTGTGTTCATGCATCGTCAGTAAATATTGACCGTGTAGGATGTTACAGTCCACTACCGGCTGTGTGTGAAACTAGTTCCTCATTGTCAATACAATTGTACTGAAGTGGGCGTATCCTGAGTCAGAGAAATGATTTGTCGCTGGTGTGTAGGGAGATGACATGATGGTAGCAACTAGAACTGGTGCTATATAAGGCTGGGGCACACCACCACCAATAACAACAGCTAGTACTACTACTACTACTACTACTGCTATTGCTACTAGTACTACGACTACTACTACTAGCAGTAGTGAGTGAGTGAGTTTAGTTTTACGCCGCACTCAGCACTATTCCAGCTCTATGGCGGCGGTCTTTAAATAATCGATTCTGGACCAGGCAATCCAGTGATCAACAGCATGAGCATCGATCTGCGCAATTGGGAACCGATGACATGGGTCAACCAAGTCAGCGAGCCTGACCCCCCGATCCCGTTAGTCGCCTGTTACGACAAGCATGTGTTACTAAAGATCAATATTCTAACCCGGTACTAGAAGTAGTAGTAGTAGAGGTAGTAGTAGTAGAAGTGACCATTGGTTAGGTCATGAGGAATGTATCGGTTTTGATGGTAGCAACTAGAACTTGTGCTATATAACTGACTGACTGAGTTTGGTTTTACGCCGCTTTTAGCAATATTCCAGCAACATCACGGCGGGGAACACCAGAAATGGGCTTCACACATTGTACCCATGTGGGGATTCGAACCCGGGTCTTCGGCGTGACGAGCCAACGCTTTAACCATTAGGCTACCCCACCGCCCCTGTGCTATATATGGCTGGGGCAATATTTAATGGATGACACACCACCACACCAACAGCTATTACTACTACTACTACTACTACTACTACTACTACTACTACTGTAGTAGCAGTAGTAGTAGTGGTGATGGTGGTAGTAGTAGCGTGGTGGTAGTAGTAGTAGTAGTAGTAGTAGTAGTAGTAGTAGTAGTAGTAGTACAAGTGACCAATGATAGGTTATGAGGGATGTATAGGTTTTGTATCAAATGACAGAATGAATTTATCAATTTGAAATAAAACGTCCAGTTTGATACGGTAAGATGTCATGTGACGACCAAATATTTCACTGATATCGGCGCAAATAAAGCGGAAGACGTTTTAATGCATAGTTTAATGACAGCAAATGGAATGTAAGAAAACAGTTTAATGTTAAAACATCTCTGAATATCCGAAAATAAGAATTTTTTAAACAACCTAATCGTGAACAAAATATGAATGGATTCGCTGTGTAAGGTGAATTTTGGAGAGAAAAAAACAGACTTTCCGAAGAATAATTGATTTCCATTGCTGGTTGTTCGTTGTGGGTTTTTACATGTAACACAACGCTCGATACCTTTCTGAAATGAGACACTGCTAAGCGAATGTGGAAGCAGAGACTCAGGAATTCGAACCGTGTTGCTGTGATCCTGGGGCGAACACTTGGCCTGTGCACCTCAGTGTAGCTGAAGCACATTTTGTAATCTCTCGCCTCGTCTCAATAACATTAATTCGAGCTTACAGTGAAAACACTTCAACTCCATGAACGATGTTACGTACTATCGGTAAATCCTCTCGACTTAACACTGTTCTTCTCCGCATTCTGTTAGTCTCGAATTACGACTTCGACATATGAGTTCTCGCTGTACCTATGAAAATCAAGGCGCCTAATTTTCTTGTGTATGATGTAGGAGGACTTCGATTTAACGAGGTTTCAGCGTACTAGCATAGTTTACAGTATCTGATGTGTGTGTGGTTTAAGGTCTTCGATTTAACGAGGTTTCAGCGTACTAGCATAGTTTACAGTATCTGATGTGTGTGTGGTTTAAGGTCTTCGATTTAACGAGGTTTCAGCGTACTAGCATAGTTTACAGTATCTGATGTGTGTGTGTGGTTTAAGGTCTTCGATTTAATGAGGTTTCAGCGTACTAGCATAGTTTACAGTATCTGATGTGTGTGTGTGGTTTAAGGTCTTCGATTTAACGAGGTTTCAGCGTACTAGCATAGTTTACAGCATCTGATGCGTGTGTGTGGTTTAAGGTCTTCGATTTAACGAGGTTTCAGCGTACTAGCATAGTTTACAGCATCTGATGTGTGTGTGTGGTTTAAGGTCTTCGATTTAACGAGGTTTCAGCGTACTAGCATAGTTTACAGTATCTGATGTGTGTGTGGTTTAAGGTCTTCGATTTAACGAGGTTTCAGCGTACTAGCATAGTTTACAGTATCTGATGTGTGTGTGGTTTAAGGTCTTCGATTTAACGAGGTTTCAGCGTACTAGCATAGTTTACAGTATCTGATGTGTGTTGTGGTTTAAGGTCTTCGATTTAACGAGGTTTCAGCGTACTAGCATAGTTTACAGTATCTGATGTTGTGTGTGTGGTTTAAGGTCTTCGATTTAACGAGGTTTCAGCGTACTAGCATAGTTTACAGCATCTGATGTGTGTGTGTGGTTTAAGGTCTTCGATTTAACGAGGTTTCAGCGTACTAGCATAGTTTACAGTATCTGATGTGTGTGTGGTTTAAGGTCTTCGATTTAACGAGGTTTCAGCGTACTAGCATAGTTTACAGTATCTGATGTGTGTGTGTGGTTTAAGGTCTTCGATTTAACGAGGTTTCAGCGTACTAGCATAGTTTACAGTATCTGATGTTGTGTGAGTGGTTTAAGGTCTTCGATTTAACGAGGACTCCCCTTACCTACAAAGTGTATTACGTCTGATGTTGTTGTGTATGTTGTAGATGGGCCGCACACCTCTCCACTACGCCATGTTGTTCATGGACCAGGATACTATTGACTTTCTGCTGAAGAAAGGAGCCAACAAGAACGCGAAAGATACTGTGAGTACTGGCAATGCTGTAATTATACCATCCATACAATAGACAATCATTAATACAAACTGTACCTTTGGCCTGGATCATTAACCTCCATGCACGATATTGTTATGAGGTGGTTGAGGTTACGGTCTCATGAGGTCGTTGTGGAAGTGGTGAGGTGAGGTGAAATTAGGTTTAACGTCGTACTTGAGAATATTTCCCTCATATGACGACGTGCATGTGCGTATATGTGTATGTGCGGCTGCTTGTACTAGCCCAGACTTAAGCTGGTTTTATGGTGCTAGCCCACTGAGATACCATGCCGCAGTGAAGCATGAATACCCCACTCAGACACATTATACTGACTCCGAGCTGACCAGTCCTTGTTGTACCCATTAATGCCGAGCGCCAGGCAGGGACCAACAAGTACCATATTTTAACGTCTTTTGGTATGACGCGGTCGGGGATCGAACCCGCGACCTTCCGCTCTCCGGGCGGACGCTCTAACCACTACACCACGGAGGCGGTCTCGTTGTAGAAGTAGTGGGTATGGGTTCACGTCGGTCCTTTACTCACTCATACCATGTTATCATGTTTACCATGATAGTACAATGAAAGCTCTACGAAGAGATTTTGTCTCGAACCTTTATTCACGATTTTCATCCAACATCAGCAACCCATGCTTGTCGTAAGAGGCGACTTACAGGATCGGGTGGTCAGGCTCGCTGACTTGGTTAACACATGTCATCGTATCCCAGTTGCGTAGATCGATGTTCATGCTGTTGATCACTGGGTTGTCTGGTCCAGACTCGATTATTTACAGACCGCCGCCATATAGCTGGAATATTGCTGAGTGCGGCGTAAAACAACAAACAAACAAACAAACGTAAGAGGCGACCAAAGGGATGTCAGGGTCCCGACTTGGTAGATGCATGTGTCGGGAACCATACGTGTGAGGGACAGGATTGGCTGATTATCTAATAACAAAAAGAAGTCAAGAAACATTTATGATTGTCACACCCGAGCAAAGGACGTTTAATAACCAGTGATGCTGTTCTTCTTTTAAAGAATTACCAAACTACCTATTTCACCCACGTATTTTGTACCTGGCATCAATTTATCAATGTTGTATTTTAAATAAATCCTGAGGCAGTTTGTTTGCCATATTCTGGAACAAATTATATTGAAAATAACGTCAGTACGAATTTCCAAACAACCCTCGCCTTGAACCAGTACAAATTGTCATCCTCGACCCTCATCCCATATCCTTTCATCAAGGACAGAATCCCCCCGTTCCCTCCAATGTATTGAGTGTTTGTATCTGTATCACAGCAAGGCCTGACCCCCCGGGACTACAGTAAGATTGAGTGCAGCCCCCACGAGTTCCAGGTCCGCCAAGCCGATGTTGAAGATTTCGACCTGGAAATATTCCTGGGAATGACCAACTTCTTTGAGACTTTCTACCACGCATGCAGGGTCAGTAATTGGATAGCTGCCTCACGATTCTCAAGATCAAAGGATCAAACTTCATAACATAATTCTAGGCAATTTATTATTGATATTTATTCTGTATAAATGCTACTGTGTTTAATAAGAAGCTAAAGGGATAGTGATCGAAGCGTGATGTACTATCTATGTGACTGACACAAGAGCCAACTCAAAGGGATCGGCTGTAACTCGGCTGATCGGTCAGTCTGACCTTATGGTCATCCTCACGATGGAAGTGTGTCCACTACCTTTATAGGCTGGCTTCTTCTTTAACATAGGCCAATAGACGCACTTGTCCAGGGAAGATGCCCAACAGTGAGGTCCTTGCTTATGATTACAGTTCTTGGTTTGTCTGGTACAGAGTTTACAGTCTTGTTGAGTACGGCGTAAAACTGCATTCACTCGTCCGTTTTCACCGTACGTAATGTCAAGATGCTGCTTCTGTTCACACGTAACTTGACCACAAGTTCCAAAAGTTAACCTTAGTTTTTATTGTTTCCTGAGTCCCGATCCACAAAGCGTTCGTAAAGATACGACCAGTCGTAACTCTATACCTTATCATAGGCTTGCGAATGACATTATGCTGCGAACGTTTTGTGGATCGGGACCCAGAAATTTGTAAACTTACACGTTCAAGGGAAATCAAGTAATCTCATTTCATTTGTTGGCTGTTACGTTGACTAATACGTCGCGTTTTACGTTTGCAGATTGGTGACTTGGCGACAGTGAAGAATCTAACACTTGGTCTGAAGGAGCACCATGCCCAACACCGGTTCAGCAACGCTCTGTTTGATTGTGTGGACAATGGTCAGTTGTCGGTTGCAGAATTCCTCGTCAAGAACGGGTTCAGCACAGACGTCTGGAAACAGGTGCGCTAAACATACAATGATTAGTGTGGAAACAGGTACACTAAACATACAATTATTATGGTGGAAACAGGTACACTAAATATACAATAAGTATGGTGGAAACAGGTACACTAAATATACAATAATTATGGTGGAAACAGGTACACTAAATATACAATAAGTATGGTGGAAACAGGTACACTAAATATACAATAATTATGGTGGAAACAGGTACACTAAACATACAATAAGTATGGTGGAAACAGGTACACTAAATATACAATAATTATGGTGGAAACAGGTACACTAAACATACAATAATTATGGTGGAAACAAAACAAACATAAGTTATTATGTGGAAACAGGTACACTAAACATACAATGTTTGTGTGTGGAAACAGAGACAGTAAATAAACTGACTGACTGAACAATTTAGTTTTCGGAAACAGGTACACTAAAGATACAATTATTATGGTGGAAACAAAATGGACCAAACATACGTTATTTGTGTTGAAACATACACTAAGCATACAGTGTTTGTGTGGAAACAGAGACAGTAAATAAACGTTTGGACAGAAGTTAAAATCAGTTGATAGTGTGGAAATGTGAAAACAGTTACTCTAAGCATACATTATTAGTGTGTGTCAGTTATTAGGCGGTGTCTTAACAGACTCGTATACCCTCACGGTACGTTTTCACAAGGAAGATATTGTGTAGACTTCCTTAACTATGACACACACGAAGATCCAGGTTAGAATTGAGATAAGAGGCGACGAACGGGTTCAGGTGGTCAGGCTCGCTGGCTTGGTTGACACATGTCATCGGTTCCCAATTGCGCAGATCGATGCTCATGCTGCTGATCACTGGATTGTCTGGTCCAGACTCGATTATTTACAGACCGCCGCCATATGGCTGGAAGGGTGCAGTGTTAAACAACGACCAAACCAAACCATATCCTAACTATGAACCCAATGAATATACGCTCATCACGCTGATGGCCCTTGTTTAGCGTGGTTGCAATGTATTTAGACCGTTTTTCTTGCCATCTGCGATACTGCGTGAAAAAAGCGGAGTACCATGTTGTACCACACTCTATTAATGTCCTTTGTTTGTCCAGTATGAAGACTGTGACCCTGATGACCCCATGTGCTCGATGATGGAATGTAGTCACGCGGTAGTTTCACTCCGTCAACGTGCAGTCAACGTGGATGCCAAAGACATCGTGACGCTTATTGACAACGTCGCCAGCGGAAAGGTATGACAATATATAATTTACAAGAAGTTCCTTGCAGCAGTAGCTGTCGACCCGTGAAGATCCGGGTTAGAATCGATCTTCAGCAACCCATGCTTGTCGTAAGAGGCGACTAACCGGATCGGGTGGTCAGGCTCGCTGACTTGGTTGACACATGTCATCGGTTCCCAATTGCGGAGATCGATGTTCATGCTGTTGATCACTGGATTGTCTGGTCCAGGTCCAAATATTTACAGAGCGCCGCCATATAGCTGGAATATTGCTACAACTAAACTCACTCACTCACTCAAATCAATTGCTGTCGTCCTAAAATAAACGGCGGTTGGGTAGCCTATGGTAAAAGCGTCTGCTAGTCAGGCGGAAGACCCGGGTTCGATTCCCCACATGGGTACAATGTCTGTAGCATATTTCCGGTGTCCCCCGCCGTGATATTGGTAGAATATTACAAAAAGTGCCTTAAATCCTTACTCACTCACTCTTCAAAATAATCTTGACAAAATATGCATATTAAAATGCTATAATCAATTTATTCCCAATGCAAAAAACATCACAGATGTTATTGATATCTCTTTTAATAACGGAAAAAAACATCATTTATTCAAACCGAGAACCTTTCCATATCGTTTTGTGTATATATCATATTTGAACAAAAAATAATAATTATTATTTCTATTTCAGGTGAAAACTCTGCTATCCTCCACAGTGTACCATTGTGAAATTGTTCGTGCGTGACGTCATAACATTATTCTTCATTTATATCTGTACTTGTGTCAAAACTCCCTCTGTACGACAGTGTAACATTTAATGTTCAAAGTGTGCCGGGGCTAGCATTGTTTTAAGTCATCCTTTCAGAAATTGGTGAATATACTGTTTCACATTTTCACAAATGTTTTGAAAGATTTGTATGCATACGTTATTTGATTGCGTAATATTTTTGATGGAACATGTAACTGTGCATACATACTTTTGATATTCGAAAGCAATATGTTTTATACATTATAAATGTGTTTCCTTTCCAACTTTAATCTGACATACATTTCTAATGGAATTGAAAATTGATTGATTAATTGATTGATTGATTGATTGATTGATTGTTGTGTAAAGCCGCGCCCAGCAATATTCCAGCTATATGGCGGCGCTGAAAATAATGGAGTCACATGATCGCGTTCGTATTCATTTGAAAACAATATTAGGTAAAAAAAAGATCTTTTTGTAACGTGGAGAAAATATCTTCCTTTGTGAAAGTCTATAGGTTAAGATGTTTTTACTGAAAAGGTGAATTGTTTTAATCTTCATGTTCTGTCAAAATCAGTTTGTATCAAAGAATTGTTCATGTTCAAATACATATATCAGAAAGACACATTAATGCCTCAATCACACCTTTCTTCTACCTCTACATTCTGTTCTCTACACACCCAAACCTTGCAAATGGTTCCCATTCTCATTCATATGTACATTTAAAAAATCATTTTACTATTTTTTAAATTATACACAATGATCCTCTTAAATAACAATTATACATTTACCTTACAATTTCGCACGTATAGATCATTCATTACATCCCAAATTGAATTTCTAACTTTTTTTCGATTTAAAAACTGTATACCTTAAAATGCTCATCAGAACCTTGTTCCAATGCCAGTACGGGTATGTCTTTGAAAGAAAAGAGTGAATTTTGGTAGTCAGAATCTACAACGTCATAATTTTATCAAAAATATTGTATGCACAGTTACTTTGTCCAATTTTGTATATAAGTTGACCAACTAGCGTTACATGTGTAGACTTACCAGCAAATGTGATGTCATTCAGGTGCCTTTCCAGCAACAGCAACAACAAAAACAAACAAACAAACAAACAAACAAACAATCTTCATCAGGGAAGCAGACATTTCGCCCATAAAAAGGTTTATTATATATGTGTCTCCACTGAACTATTTTAGAATCACTCTTGGTGCTAAGCTGATGTATCCTAAAATTCAGTATCTCACCTTTTTTTTTTTAAAAGACTGGCGTTTGTGTAGACCAATCCCGTTCGTAAATACACCCATCACACAATAGGCTTGTGGTAAAAATATATTTTCTCAAACGAGCCTTCAATATTTGAAGTTTGAGTTTTATATTTTCCTCAGTCTAAGTAAACTCAGTATAGCAGTGTAACGAATAATACTGAGCCAAAGTTTACTTAGACTGATGTTTTCCTCTAGTGTGCATTACAGTGTTGTAGATATATGTATGGCGTCACAGGCACGCGTTTTATAACTGCCATCTTGAATGTTGATTACCATTGATACGTTTTGCATGTTGCTATATGTCCCTGCGCTTATTGGCTGTGCTGACATTTCATGTACTTACTGGGCGCGTGTGAGCTTCACTTTGTCAGGAATGGAAACCTGTGATAGCTGTGCATATAATCACTTGCTGTCTCCACTTTATACCAGGACGTTACTTTATGTCACCGTTACATTTGTGTGGGTGTACTCACCCATAAACCCCACCCGACCCCCTAACCCCATCATGTTCAATATAGGCAAAAACACCACGACCGATAACCCTTATTTCTTTACGAATTCAAGGTAATTGGAAATCGCTGTGAAGAGTTGTGTCCCTTGGACCTGGAGAATCGTATGATTCTGGGTTTGAATCCCGGTTCGTCTCGATCATGATTAAAGGTTTGTCAGCACCAATCCTTCGCCTGGGTTTTACCATAGCGGTTAACACTTCGGATCTGCATCACGATAGGCTGTCCACCCTCGCTAAACCGACCCGCCGTTCTTTTGACTTAAATATTGTTCCTTATGGCGTTGAACCCAATTCACTTTTATAACTCAGTCACATGCAATTGTATTTAATACACCCGACCCCATATTACTGAACATTTGTACTAAATAAATACGATGTGTTGATACGAATTGAACCAGGTCCACACAAAGGCCGAACCAGGGCTTAGCCACCCTAAAGCTGTAAAGATAACGGTTTTGGCCGAACTTTCACCTTGTATGCTTATCAGTGATATATAAGTAACGTGGTCAAGTGTACATACATAAACATTGTACCACACAAAGTCTCATGCTATACGTAACGGTGCCAAAATACTGTTTGCACTGTGTTTACTTCCAAACTTAACGTTGCCGCCCACACAACAACAAACCTTCAATGTATACAAGACTTATTCCTGGCCGTGACGGTTTTGTTCCTTCACACGTGACACTAGTCTGTCTTGGTTTAGAATGTACATCCTCACAGACAAAGGACAAAACGACGGCGTTCAGCGTCGCGCATTTATCATCTCCCACAGCTGTTAAGTTCTGCCTACATTTCATGCAGGAAAAATCAGCAACTAGTCGTGTAGAGGTTTCATCTCGTATCTGTTATGGTTCCTGTTTTGTTGATATTTTCTTGTGTTTTTCTTTCAAATTTTAATCATTAAAATTAAATAAAACTCAAAATGTCTGTTGTCATTTTTGTCTGTTGTGGCCACTATGAACCCCCAAAACTGCTCTGCGCCGACTCGGCATGGACTGAATAAGTCTTTGAATTCGACCTTGTGGAATTTTGGCCCATTCCACTTGCAATGCCTGTGACAGTTCATCTAACGTCTGGGGCGCCGGATGACGTTCACGTACGCGTCGGTCGAGGTCATCCCACACATGCTAGATGGTGTTGAGATCGGCCAAAGAAGCTACTGAGTAGTTTCATGTGCTGTGTGAGGCCTGGCATTATCTTGTTGGAACCATTCCCTCTGGCAGACAATGATCGGTACCGTGTGAATCCTTCAGATTTCGTCTCTGTACCGATTAGCAGTTAAATAGCCGTGAAATCGCACAAAGTTCGATATCTGCGTGTCGGATATGATTCCCCACATCATGACGCTGTCACTACCATATCGGTCAACCTGGGCGACACAATTCTTGCAAAACGTTCATTTCGACATCAATAGTCACGCACTCTTCCGTCAAGGCACTGAATCAGGAAGCGTGATTCGTCACTGAACCAGACACATCGCCAGATTCCTGAATACAACGTCATTGCACCACTAGACCCGTCGACGTCGATATCGATGTAGTCGACGCAGCACAGGGCCAAAATAGGGCCTTCTGGCTTGAAGTACGGCTTCTCGTAAACGATTACGAATGGTTTGCGCCGACAGTCTCCTAAAACCAGGCACTGCACTTGCAGTTGCAGCTGCTGTGACAGTTCGATTCTGCAAATGAAGTACCCAGATGTACTGCAGTGGTATTCCGCGGTCTACCACTTCTAGGCCGATCTTGCGTTGAATTGGTTAAGTCACTTTGTTGATATCCCATAAACGACTGTTGGTACTCGGTGAACATTGAGGTGACGTGCAACGGCAGATTGAGACTCTCCAGCCTCCATACGTCCAATCGCAATGTTTCGATTTACGGCAACGTTATTCTTTCCTTTTGCTAACAGAAATGCCAGTGAACGTCTAAAAGCAAAACGGCCCATCACCCCGCAGAACTGTACGTTGGCAGTTGCGAACGTATGGCATTTAAGTTTCCAAAGATGCGTTTTTACGCTGTGCATTCGTTCCATGTACACAAACCAGCATTATATAGTATGACCAGAAATTATTGAGAATTTTAGGAATATGTTTAATTGGATTTCTAGTATAAACAACTTGACCAGCTATCAAGTGCGTGGTTTGATTCAAGAGAGAAAACTCCGTCAATCCTTTTTCATTAGTTTGTGAAGAGTTATCCCCTTTGTTTACTTGCTAGCAGACGATATTTTCAGTCATCCTCAAGAGGAAGTTGATTTTAGAGTATTATAACAAGGACATCAGATCAGCTAAAGAGATTTCAAGTAGAACAGGCATCCCTTTGTCTACTGTTTATCGTGTTTTGAAAAATAGTGCCAACGGATATGGCATTGAGCACCAGGGAGGCGCAGGTAGGCCCAGAAAATTGACTGTCGGTGACAGGAGGCGGCTTGGTATTCTTTTTTCTAACAACAAACGAATGAGTTTAGAAAACTTAAGGCTGGATATGATTGATAGAGGAACTGTGGCTGTCTGTAAGGAGACAATTAGAACTGAGCTACATGCAATGGGTTGGCAGAAAAATCGAGAAATTCCATCACCGATCATGAAACCTGAACAAAATGAGCGAAGGTTGAACTGGTGCTTACAGCATAGAAATTTTAACTGGGACAATGTGATTTTCTCCGATGAAAGTTCTGTGTGGCTGTTTCCTATTACACTGAAATTCTGGACCAAACAAACTGAAAAACTTTTGTATCAGCGCCCAAAGTACAGTCCGAAATTTAACGTGTGGGGTGGCATATCTGTGTAAGGGGCAACGCCCCTCTGTGTATTTGAAGGGAATATGAACAGTGAGCAGTACACGGATATTCTCGAGGGACATTTACTTCCATCTGCTCACGTGTTCTATGGAAATGTTTGGATTTTCCAGCAGGACAACGACCCAAAACATCGTTCAAAGCATTCACAGGCCTGGTTTCGGACCCAAAATATGACATTATTAGATTGGCCAAGCTATAGCCCTGACCTAAATCCAATAGAAAATGTTTGGGGACTTATGAAGGAAAGTGTCAATAAGAAAAATCTGACAAATATTGCTGAAATGAAAGAAGAGTTGGTCCGATATTGGGACAGCATGGACCACGACTTTCTAACTTCTTTGATCAGTAATATGTCCCGCCGCATTGAAGCCTGCATTGCTGCCCATGGTGACTTGACAAAATACTAACTGTTCACCTGTCTTTGAATCTGGAGTTATGTTCTGCTAATATTCACATTTAATACGTGAGAAATGAGTAATATAAAAAAAATTTTTTTACAATCTTTAATTTTCTCAATAATTTCTGGTTGTACTGTATTTGGAGCACAGTGGCACGCTGGCCACTCACACCAAAGGCCCGGGTTCGAATCCCGGTGGAGATACTAACCATTTGTGACCTGGGTCTCATACTGTGTTGTATCCCTGGGCAAGGCACTTCGTCCACATTGCATTCAGTCCACCCAGCTGGTTAAATTGGGTACCTGAGAAGCGGATGTACGGACCTATACGGTCGCGCGAAGCGCTTAGTAGCGGCTTTGAAAGTACAATTCCGTCAGGGTAATAATGTAACGCCAGAAAATAGCATTGCGTTGGATCCTAGGGGCAAAAATTAGCATTAAATAATAAAACAATCAAGCACTAATTTTGAAACAATTTCAACATCATGCGTTACTTTTTGGGGAGAGTATATAAAAAACAACAACTATCATTTCTGCATTTTTTAGGAGACTAAATGACTCTTCATTGACAGAGATTATCTCTTAAAACAAACATATATTTTTAGGAAAATCGCACATCTGTTTTTTTTGTTCCACAAGCCTACTCATAAACCTCAGTAAATGGCTGCTTATTGGTGACAGTTTAGACATTGCTGAGTTGAGAGACAGCTCTGTGCACGGGAGATTAATCATCGAGGGATAGGCACTTCTAAATCCAAAGGGCTGGAAATCAACCAGTATTGTGTTAACCTAGACCGACGACGCATAGCAATACAATGAGCTGGAGTCTAACCTTGGCCTAAATAAACTGCAAACACTTCGAAAACAGTCTCCATGCAGCATGCCGTAAGTGGTATAGTTCACTAATCTCGAAATGCCAGTTCAACGAGTTAATTTGAGCTAACGCGACAATGGCAGTTGGTTTTCGGCAGTTTCATGCTGTGCAGATCAAGAGGCGAATCTCTTTCTTTTTCATTTAAAGCATTTTCTTGCATTTCAAAACAAACCACGTATTGGAGAAGAAGGGAATACTTGATTATGACTGTACTTGCAGACTGGCAGTATTGATGAGATATTACTGTATCATTTAGGAATGGAGTAGACTCGAGCTTGAACACGTCTAAATTTCTCTTGTGTCAGTGAGGGACAAAGGAAAGTAACATTGCCAGTTGGTCATCTAATGTACCGGCCGTCGAACAGCGAATAATAATCAGAGTTGGTCTTCTGGTGGTTACCCATC